AAATTTCTGAGTATGTGAGAATAATAAAATAAATTCTTACTATAACATCGGATGATGAAGCGAGGTCATGAAACACGATTCTCTGTCATGTCGACGCTTTTCCCTTCGCATCTCATCCAGATGGACACTTTTTTAGCTACTGTACTTCTCCTACAGGCACCTGTTCAAGAATTCCCGTATGTTGTGCCAAAACCTTTCAGCGATTTATGCAAATCAGTCTCGCGAAGCGCTGATAAAATAGGTCCAGCAGATTTCAAAACTGTAAATCCAATAGGTATCTATTACGAATGCATTATAATCCAACTTCTGTCTCTGTAAAAATGTTAAAACTCCCTTTGAAAAGATGCATCATCAACCTCTCCCGCAGTAGACTAACACCTGAATACACCTGGTAAACAGGTAAACAACGTCACACTCTTCAGTGTAGAAGGGGTTCGGCTTAGCATTTAAAGGGCCATGTCTCTTTTTTTCTGAGAGAAAATTCCCACGATCAGGTTTCGTTGCTGTATTTAAAAGGAACCGAGGGCTATTTAGTAAAAGTGGACAAACAGGTTTTAGACTAGTTTTGCTTTTCTCCTTCCTCTACTGACCTATATCTTGTAAACAGTGCTGTGGACACTGTTTATAATGTAGGCTACATATGAATTCACGTCAAAAAACAAAACAAAAAAAAAAAATAATTCCGCGGACCTGTTAGGCAGGAGACATGAGTAACGTTACAGGTTTTTTTTAGCGAACAAGGAGTGGCGAAAATATCCCGATTGGCAACATTCAATTCATTCGCAAAGTAGCGATGTCCGATTCGTGAATGAATCATTCTTTTGAGTCGATTCTTTTTAATTCACGTTCAACCTGTTTACAAACCAGTCCGAACATTTGTTTACGAGTCGAACTAAATCGGTCCGAGCAGTTCTCGAGTCAGCAAATCACTACGTAAAATATCCCAAACTTTACGTACTAAATTTAATCTTGAAAGTTTAGAAAGAAGCCTTTTGTATTTTTTTAGGTAATATATGCAAATATGTATAGGGAGCATACTCTTAATGAATAGCCTAGGAAAAAATGTAGCCTGTATGACTACAAGATAAGTAAATAAATCACTGCTTTGTTTTGTTTACTTGTTATAAATTGGCCTATTTTATTTTATACAATTTTATTTTTATTGAAGCCTTATTATCAACCACATATGAATATTGATCTATTGAGTAAAACATAGATAGATAGATAAAACCAATAGCTTCAAATAAATTTGTAATATTAATCTCTTCTTTTTAGATTTATTCTGCATTGCAGACTATAAAACAATTGACCTCTACCCAGCACTGACACAAAAGAGACATCATTGACGGCACATTGTTTATTATTTAATTTACACAACCATATAGAGACATTAAACATCAAATACTGGGATGCAGTTTGCAGAGACCAAGAGAGAAAGAAATAAGACAGAATGAGAGAAATATACATATCCCGATAGGATCACAAAGATGGTGTAAGCATCTTCAACAAAAAGATGAGAATGTCGTTCAGGTAGTTTACATGAAATGAAAAATGAACTTTCTGTAAGATTTCATTTACATTCCTATTACATCCTCTATGGCACCGACATAGGGACAAGGGGAGGTATACTATTGCACACACACACACACACACACACACACACACACACACACACACACACACAAACACACA